CCCCCTTCCCCCATCAGCTTGAGGCAAAGGCCTTGCAAAGCAGCCCTGAAGGGTTTCAGAGGCCAGTTATTCCGGAAACTTTCTCCCAAGTGGAGGAAAATGTCGAGGGGGCAATACAGTCTAGAGATTCAGACTACACCTGCCGTTGCTAATGTCTGCATATCTGTGATACCAAAGGAGCATTGTGGCGAGCTCCCTTTGCCCTCCCGACGCTCCAAAACTGAAAATCATCGTCAAATGTAAAGACCTTAAATTCGCGTATGACTAGCTTTGAATAACAATTTTCAAATAGATCTTAGCTCAGAATCTCCAGTCGGCTCCCTCCACACCTTATAGAAACCTGGTCTCTTTCTCAGTCTCCAGTCACAAGCTGCACCAAATACATCAACAGCACAGAAAGAAAAAAAGACACAAGAGTTCTTAAGGATCCCATTCTCACCCGAATCCTTTTACTCACCAGAACGACAACACTTTTACTGTTAAAGGGGGACAAAAGATCAGAATTGAAAAATCTAATAAAGCAAAGTTGCAGTCTAAAATAAATCACAACAGCAATACATATAGCTTGGAAAGTGTGAGAACAGAAATATGAACTGTGCCTTGAAGTATGGAAGAAATAAAAACTTACCACCAGTGAATATCTCTTAAGCAATGATCGGGGTCTAGAAATCTATACTGAACAGAAGCAGAGGAGAATATTTGTCTGAGTCTCAGGGCAGAAGCTCTTTCTCTATATTCTTGGTTGAGTGAGCACATCCAGGTGTGAAATTGTTTGCACACCCCAGCACCTCTTATATTGCCAGCAAAATTAGCTGTTATTACTGTCACTGTTTAGTGATGGTTAGCGTGATACAAAAAAAAAAAAAAAAAACTGCTGTAATCAAGACCTGGCGCATCTTTGCAAATTACAGATAATTGTAAACGTCCAGATTATGATAATAGCATCCTAATCCAGCCTGCAATATAATTATTACAGAGTGTTACATCTGAAACTGTCCAGTAGGGCTAATTCAGCCATTATTTAGACCCTATTTTTGCACTGCAAATGGGTTGCTGAGTTGAAAATGTACGATTGTAATTTCACAGGGCACTCAATGAGTAATGGTATAGGAAGAGGAAAATACAAAAGTGAAATGTGAACAGTAGCGATCAAATCAAACCCTGAAGGACAAAAGACTGTTTGATTCATATGGAAAAAGAAGAGCGGGAATTAAGAAAATAGCAAATCCGTGGTCTGAAGCATTACGTGTACAAATCTTCAATATGTGTAGGGCTGATGTGTTTGCAAGGGTTGCTGTATGTGCTTCTGCTGGAGTCTGAAATTATTTTTCTTTCTTTCTTTTTCTTTCTTTCTTTCTTTCTTTCTTTCTTTCTTTCTTTCTTTCTCGTTCATTCTTTCTTTCTAAGCCTCCTGTCTTTCCCCCCTCTCTGCTAAAGCATTTCCTTGCTTAAAAAGGAAAAGTGCTCTTCTCCTAAGCAAAGAATATTTGTCAGTTTCACCATTGTTTCCACCAATGCTGCCTCAGAGTGTGCCTGTCACTTGTTTATGAACATTTGCTTAAATGAATTTGCAATCTCTCTTGTCGTCAGAGCAAAATGCCCTGGGTGCTTGTAAGTGTTCCTGAGCTCCATCTCCATTCTCTTTCACTGTGAACAAGTCAATGAGAGGCCTAAAGGATATTAGCAGAAACCGTATTAATTGCTGCTAATTAAATAAAGCCGGCTGGGAAGCTGTCTCCTCTATTTGGCCAGGC